AACTCTTGGCCCCGACAATCTTCAATCTTCTGTGGCAGGAGTTTTAAAACGGGCCAGCCTGCTCAGATTGCGCGTTTAAGTTAATTGCAACCCTATATAGGGTTTCGGGGCTTCTCTGTAAAACGCTAAGCCCGGGACCTTTAAACCTTAACCCTATAGGGTTTGAAGGTTATGTGTTTCAGTTTAATTGCAGGCTTAGGTTGAAAATCGTTTAGACCTTAACCCTATAAAGTTTCCAGGTTGCAGGTTTCGGTCTAATTGCACGTCAAGGGTTAAATACCAATATCTTAAACCCTAGACCTTGAATTAACCCATAAAGTTTAAGGGTTTCGGTGTATTGGCAGGTCAAGGTTTAAATGCCTATATCTTAAACCCTAAACCTTTAAATCTTAAACCTACAGGGTTTAAAGGTTAAAGAATTAGGCTTATTTGTTTCATCCTAAGGGTTTCGGGGCTTTTCTTTAAAACCCTAAACCCTGGATCGATAGGGGTTTAGAGTGCCTATATCTTAAACCCTATACCTTTAAACCTTAACCCTGCAAGGGTTAAAGGTTTCGCGTTTCCGTTGAGTTGTAGGTCAAGGTTTACATGTCTAAACTTAATCCTAAACCTTTAAACCTTAACCCTATAGGGTGTTTAAAGGTCCAGGGTTGAGGTTTAATTGCTTAACCCTACGTTAACACCCTAAACCCTGGACCGATAGGGTTTTGGAGAATAAGCCTGACAACACCCTTAAACAAACGCAGAACGCGCAGCGGAGTGAAGTAGAGGGGAGGGGGGGGGGAGGGGGGTGGTGGGGAGTGTTTTTTGGTCCTGCTTATTTTGGAAGACCGACCCCTGGCACCCTCTCCCCTTTTAATTAGAAGCAAACTAAGTCCTTATAAGCAAATTTGTTGTGTTGTGGAGATTGAGTACACAGATTACATGCCAACGACTTCAATCTTTAATTTGAGGGCCGATTCAAAACTGAATCGGCCGATTCAAATTTGAATCGGACATATTTCATCATTATAGGGGAGCCCGCTCTTTAGGACTTAGCGAGAAGGATTTAGGGAATAGGCGCATTGAAGTGGGGAGCATCCCAAAGCTTAGTCCCCAAATCCTATTTTCTAAGGGGGCGCAAATCTTATCGCTAAAGCTTTAGCGTTAGCGAGAAGATTTATTGAGCAAGGTTGGCTTTTGTATGAGTTAGGGGGGGGTCTCATTTTTGGGGATTTAAGGCTACTTAAGATTCCCTCTTTAGGATTTGGTGACTCCCTCCCACCCCTCTTCCCCAATATGATTTAGGGAGTGAAATTAAGGGATAAGATTGAGGGATCCTTCTTTGTTGACTTTAGCGATAAGATCTACTGAGTAAGGTTCTTTGTTTTATGATGTAGACGGAGAGGCTCATCTTTAAGATTTATAGTAAGGATCCCCCTCTTTAGGACACCCCTCTTTAGGGCTTAAGCAATAGGATTTAGAAAGTAAAACTAAGGAATGCTTTTTAGGATTTAGGGGATCTCCTCTTTAGGGTTTAGCCCCCCTCCCCCGCCCCCCACCTTTAGGCCTTAGGGAGTTAATTTCAGGGAACCAGATCTAGGGATCCCGATAAGATTTTATCCGAGCATCTGTTTAATTGGTGGGACCCCCCACCGCAATAAGAAAGGCAGGGCACTGCAATAATGAGACCATGGCAATGTATGCATTCTCTATTAAGCACAATAGGAATGTATTGTAGTTTCGCCGATCCAGACTGCAGCTCAGCAATCAAAAACGAAGCCTGCAGACAGATTTTTGAACACCCCCGGAAAATATTCTTTCAATGTGGCGGTATTTTCCCATACGGAAACCCCCGTAATGGAAAGCAGTCTCACAGCCGGATTTTCGACGAAAAATATTTCTTTAAATGTGGAGGTAGTAATTCTTTGAGAATGCAGCGGCTCTCCTCTTCAGAAGTTCAAGACTTCCCTCTTTAGGGCTTTTAAAATCATGGGAATATGATTTAGGGACCCCGCTCTTTAGGCTTTAGCGAGAAGACTTAGTGAGCCATTTAGTGACCCACGGCCCCCCCGCCCGCCCGCCCCAGAATAAGGGACTGAGGGAATATGATTTAGGGAATACGATGTAGGGATCCCGTGCTTTCGGACCTAACGAGCAGGATTTTGGGAACAGGCTTCATTTTTTCGGAAATAGGGGTTTATGCAATGGAAAATTGTGCGAATATGGTTAAAGGATTTAGGGAGTCGGTCTCAATTTTAAAGCGTTTTGATGTCACGCAAGTGTAGAAACTTAGAAAACGGTAGGTTTTGGAGTGGGGGTAGCATATATATATATATTTATACATTTATTTGTTTAAACCTTTGTAAATTCGTCGAATAAGGCAAAGCCTTCGTCGATTAAGGCAAGTCCTTCGTCGAATAAGGCAAGTCCGTCGTCGATTAAGGCAAGTCCTTCGTCGATTAAGGCAAATCCTTCGTCGATTAAGGCAAGTCCTTCGACGATTAAGGCAAGTCCTTCGTCGATTAAGGCAAGTCCTTGGATGAAAACTTGATATTTTCTTAATGTTATGGGATTCTTTGGGCGGGTGGGTTTTTTCCTAAGCCTGGACCCCCTAATGACTATGAATGCTAGAACAGTGACCCGAAACCCTAAACCCTAAACCCTAAACCCCCTTGTAGCCGCCTCAAAGGTCCTACGCAAAGATCTCCGATGCGGACCTTGATGCCTGCAGGGGGGCCTGGGTATCTCTGGCCTTTGGAGGTTTAGGGTTTAGGCTTTAGGGCAACTTTAGGGTTTAGGGTTTAGGGTTTAGGGTGTAGGGTTTAAGGGTGTAGGGTGTAGGGTTTAGGGTTTAGGGTTTAGGGTTTAGGGTTTAGGGTTTAGGAATGAACCCTAAACTTGGGGAGAGTTTTGGTTTAGGGTTTAGGGTTTAGGGTTTAGGGTTTAGGGTTCAAGGGTGTAGGGTTTAGGGTTTAGGGTTTGTAGGGGTTAGGGCTAAGGGTTTCGAGTGATTAAGACTCGTACCCCGAACATGGTACCCTTGGATTAGGGACCCTTTTTTCTAGGGTTTTTAAGGTGAGGCGGTTCAAGGAGGAGATATAACCCAAGGTCACCCCCAAGGTCCCCGAATACTCCCCTCCCTAGGTACCTACCCCCCATGAACCCCACCGCCCGTAAGGAGCAACTGTGACTGCACTGATAAAGCCCTTTAGGTGCCTCGATATGCTTATAAGTACAGTTATAAGTACAGTTCTAACCATAAACCCTAAACCCTCAACCCTACACCCTACACCCTACAGTAAACCCTAAACCCTATCTCCTAAACCCTACCCAAGTACCATGAACCCCCAAGTACGGTCACACAAGGGACATATTCGGGGTATTTAAGGGCAACCTTTTGGGGTACAACCCTAAGCCCTAAGGGGGTACGAGTCTTAATCCTTTAAGTGTTTGAGGTATAGGGTTTAGGGTTTCGGGTTTAGGGTGTATAGAGTTTAAAGTTTATAGGGTTTGTAGGGCTTCTGGTCCGGGGTTTCTAAGTTCCCCGATTCAGGATGCACTTCAAGTAAGGCGTTATGGTATGCCTTGTTCTAGAGCCCCAACTAGGGCACCCTCTCAGAGGGCATCCGGTTCAGGATCAATTTAGGGTTTAGGGTTTATGGGAAAGGTTCAGGGTGTAAGGTTAACGGCTTGCTTACTTAGCAGCTGAGTAGACAACATTGGATAGTTCTCCACGACGTGCGGCTTTTCATTTTTTGGGGGGGGTGGGTACCCCCCCCCGGAACGGAAGGGGGGGGGGGGGGGGGGGTCACCCCCCCCCCCCCCCCCCCCCCCCCCCCAAACAATCGGTCCTACCCGGGTTCAGGGTTCAGGGTTCAGGGTTCAGGGTTCAGGGTTCAGGGTTCAGGGTCCAGGGTTCAGGGTTCAGGGTTCAGGTTTAGGGTTTAGGGTTTAGGGTTTAGGGTTTAGGGTTTAGGATTTACGGCGAAACCTAGCGTGCGGCAATTCGTCGAACTGCACCTTGGGTGGCGCTGTGGGGTTTCAGGACCTGTCTTGGAGTTGAGGGGTATAAACGGGTTCGGGATTCAGGTAGCGTTTAGGGTATAGGGTTTAGGGTTGAGGGTTTAAGGTTTAGGGTTGGTTTAGGGTTGAGGGTCTAGGTTTTAGGGTTGGGGTTCAGGGTTAGAAACATGTTCAGGATGCAGGTAGGGTTAGGGTTTAGGGGTTCAATTTCAGGTTCTGGCATTCTTGCATCGAAAGGAGTCGAAGTTAACTCTGAACCCGATACCCTAATTTATAACGCACACCAGGCTCTGGCTAATTCTCCTGTAGAAATCTGTTTCTGATGATTGTGAAACAGATGGGGGTTTACGCAAATAGGGGGACCTCAAATACAGACCCCAACCAGTAGGGCCCCAATGAGATACCCCTAATTTCGGAAACCCCCAAACCTTCTCATGGGTTCCCTTACTACCCCCCTCAATTAGGCTGAACTATCCCTAAACCCTAAACCCGAAACCCGAAACCCGAAACCCGAAACCTTAACCCCCTAGACCCTAAACCCTAAATGCCCTTAGTATGATATTCGGGTGCGTCCACCCGATGTCTCAGAGGCGCAGTTGTGGAGACCCCGCTACCACGTGAGACCTCTGACTTGGGCCTCCAGAGCCACTCAACCCTCAACCCGAAACCAAAATGAACCCTTTGTCCTAAACCCTAAACCCTAAACCCTAAGCCCTAAGCCCTAAGCCCTAAACCCTAAACCTCTGGCCTTCTCAGTGTGATTGGGGTTTCGCAGAATCGGGGTTCCTTCGAAGCAGAAAGCTGGCGCGTCTGCTCAGAAGCTGGCGTCGGAGTCTAAGAAGCACTTCTGAAGGGTGTAGGGTTTAGGGTTTAGGGTTTAGGGTTTAGGGTTTAGGGTTTAGGGTTTAGGGTTTAACGGGGAACATCAGGGGGACACCTATTTTTCTAAAGGCCCATGACCATAAGCCAACTGCCACCCTTCCAATCTCTGCGCCATGGCGAAGTCCTTAGCATCACAGCTGGGCTGTGACTTGGCCTTTACTAGGGCTTAGGTTTTAGGGTTTAGGGTTTAGGGTTTAGGGTTTAGGGTTTAGGCCCTTGGGGCATTTTATATTGTTCCCTTATTTGGGTTTAAGAGGATCATATGCAGGAATATTTGTTCAGAGGCCTTTAAGGGCCCTCCTAGGCGAGGTGCCTTTGGCAGCCGCAGCTTTAAAGATCTGCGGGGGCCATCGCGATCGAGCTGAGACGGTGCTGAAGGAGCCCCTAGGTAGGCCCTTGGGATATTTTCTATTTTTCTTAATGGGTTTAAGGGGCTCATGTTAAGGAGCATGTTTAGGAAGTCTTTTAAGAGCCCTACTAGGCCCTACACCTACCCTGCGCTTGATCCTGGACCTGATCATGGCGACGCGGTCTTCCAGCATCCCTATGTCCAATGTTTGCTGGAGGTGGCCCAACAGCAGGTGCAGCAAGCGCTGAAGCAGCAAGGGCCAGCCGAGCAGAGATGGCTGATTTGCATTCGAACTTTCGACCGCGCCGGCCTCCTGTGGCAAAAGTCTGATCTTCACCGATACCTCCATGGGGTTCTCTGCAACTTCGTAGCCCAGTGGTACCCTTTTCCCTTTTTTTGCTTCAAGGTTCCCTTCTAAAGTAACCGACCCCAAAAAAGGGTACCCTTACTATAATTTCGGTACTGGGCTACCTAGGCAAATCCTCGGCTGACTCGTATGAAGCGAAGCTTGGGGCCGCAAAGCTCGGCCTGTCTGACTTGAGGGAGATGGCCAAGAAGCCCGGAGGACTCAAGAATGCGCTGGCCAACGCAGGCATATCAAACGTCTCTGGGTTGCTTTTTGAAGCACGCTGTTAAGAACTTAAGTAACTTAAGACTTATAAGACTCCAAGCTCGAATGATGAAACCGTATTCCTTACGAAACCACATTCTCGACAGACCCATTGCAGTGGAGTTTTGGTTTCCTTCGCAGCAACCCATTGGTAGCCCAGTGGTACCCCTTTCCCGTGTTTTGGTTTCAGGCTAAGGTTCCCTTCTAGAGTAACTAACCCCGAAAAAGGTTACCCTGATCGTAATATGGTTACTGGGCTGCCAAGATCCAGGATTTTAAGGGGGTATAAGGAGGGCCCACTAGAAGGGACCCTTAACCTTATTCCCCAAAAATCACTCTTAAGAATGCCTTATACAGTCCCTAGAAATCTAAGTAGCCGATAGGTAAGCCCCAAAGAACCCCTAAGGTCTCTTATAAGGGTCCCTCCTTGAATTCCCTGGACCCCTAAACCCTAAACCCTAAACCCTAAACCCTAAACCCTAAACCCTAAACCCTAAACCCTAAACCCTAAACCCTAAACCCTAAACCCTAAACCCTAAACCCTAAACCCTAAACCCTAAGCCCTTTTCCGTGAGGTTATGGAGAAGACAGCTAAGCTGCTGGCTTCCAAGCTCCATGAGCCCTTGGAAAAGGTCGAGAAGAAAGCCCGCAGCCATGAGAGCCTAAATTCCTGTTCAGGAGCTTTTAGACTTCTAAGGCCAAAAGAGGGCACCAGAACTTGATGTGACTATTCGTATTCTTGTTATTGGTACACTCTTTTGGCTTCTGTTGCCATAAGTGGGTTTCGGAAATTAGTGTTAGTAGTACTTCTATGGCTGTTACTATTCTTCTTCTTATTATGATTATCTCTATCATTATTTTTATTATTGCTATTCTTATTCTTCTTATAATTGTCAATATATTTTCATATATGCAGGTAACCTCTATACTGGCAGCTTAGTAGAAGTTTCCCAACAAACGGAGCCCAGGAAAGGCCTCAGAGAGCTAACGCTGCACGCCCTGGAGCAGGCACTTGGACCAGAAGCGTGGCGTGCCTTGGAAACCAAATGAAACCCCTACATTGGGGTTATATACTACCATAATTTAGGACCCTAAACCCGAAATCCTAAACCCTAAACCCTAAACCCTAAACCCTAAACCCTAAACCCTAATTAAACCCTAAACCCTAAACCCTATGAAGGTGCATGAACCCTAAACCCTTTTAGGGCCCTATGTGGTCCCCAAGGTCGGTGCCTGATCTTCGTATCTCACACGGATACTAGGCAGGCCCTTGGGATGTTTTATATTGCGTCTTGTAAGGTTCAAGAGGATCATATCCCTAAACCCTAAACCCCCTAAACCCTAAACCCTAAACCCTAAACCCTCTGTCAGAGGGTTTTTAGGGGCCATCCAAGGACAGCGCGTGGACCTCCGGAAGGTACTCGTCGGCACTTCGCGACACCCCTTGGGCGGAGAGAGTCGTGGTCGGCGTGCGCGGGGCGCATCTGCAGGTGGGGAGTGAAGAGGTTTAGGGTTTAGGGTTTAGGGTTTAGGGTTTAGGGTTTAGGGTTTAGGGTTTAGGGTTTAGGGTTTAGAATGGGTAACCTGGATACAGCTTTTTGATCCTTGCTTTTGTTGGCTGTGCGGTATGTTAAGGGCTGAATTTACTTTCTTACCCTAAACCCGAAACCCCTTAAAACCCACATTCCCTAAACCTTACCCCCCCCCCCCCCCCCCAACCCCACCCCAGTGTGCGTGCCGGCTACGCGCGCCCCCCTCAATTACTAGCCCTAAACCCTAAACCCCCCTTGAACCCTAAACCCTAAACCTTACCCCCCCACACACCAGTGTGCGTACCGGCTACAGCAGCCAGGTGCGCTTCATGGAAGAAGCGGCTCCCAAAGGTGCTTGGAGGTTCATGGTACTTACTAACCAGTTATAAGTAGGGTTATAAGTACAGTTATATAAGTGGTTAGTAAGTATCATGAACCTTCAGGTGCTCATTTGGTCGTCATGGACGACAACATCGAGAGCTTGGTCGCAGAGGTACCGCTGAAGGAGCTGAGGGAGAAGCTTATACCTCGCCATAGTTGGACTTTAAACCTTTTTGGGCTTCATTTTTTTGTTTTAGTAGGATTGTCCTTTTTTAGTTGGAAGAATGAGCGGTTAACCTTTTTTTCTTGGTTTTGGGAGAAGTCAGGAAACAGAAAAATGAAGGGATCTATAGCTGGGGGAGCCAGCCTTTGCGTTTTGGGCGCTGGTGTACTCCCCTGGCTGGCACAGGCCTGGACATTGTGTCATGGCTTGCCCTACTGCCTCCTCTATACTATCCCCCCCCGCCCTCCCCGCTGGTTCCCCCCCCCCCCCATCATATTTAAGGCTATTTAGGGAGAATTAAGCCTAACTAAGGCTATTCAAGGGGGAACCCCTAGCGGGGGTAGCATAGAGTAAACCCTAAACCCTCAACCCTCAACCCTAAACCCTAAACCCCCTGGCACAGGCCTGGACAGTGTGGAAGAGTCCGAATCCCTCTGCTGGTTGCGCGGTTTGCTTCCCGAGCTCGAGAAGCTAAACAGAGATGGCCATGTTCCTTGGTCCCAAACCCTAAACCCTAAACCCTAAACCCTAAAATTGGGGGCATGTGAAGCAGGGTTTGTATTACTGTTGTTGGTGAGTATATAAGGTCCCGTTTGAATACTGGTGAGTGTATATATTTGGTGTACAAGGAAAATAACCCGTACGTCAGTATACCCTATACTTTGGGATGTTTCCCCCTGTACTAACAGTCCTCAATAGGGGATTATAGTACCCCACCCCCCCCACCCCGCTAATTGTAATCCCTATCACGGACTGTTAGCATAAGGGGAAACATCCCAACCTGTACTACTCTAGTTCCTACTAAGGTACATGAACCCATAAACCCTTTTTGAGGTTCATTTGGACTTCGAAGGTCGAAGACGCTCTTCGAAAGAAGCGTGTCGCGCGCCTTTCGAAGCTGAAAGCGTTGGGTCCCCATCGCCAAGATGGCTTGCTGGAAGAGCTTGGGATAGCGAAGCGGAAGCGACGCTTGTGCGCTCCAAAATGCACATGTGGGGCTTTTTGGGGAACCAGTATCCTCTGTAAGAAATCACCCGAAGGATCGGGACCCGAATTCCCTTATTTGCTAAGGGCGTACTCCCGAAGCCCCAAACCCTGCCTGGGACTTTACTTGCCTACAGTTTACTAGTAACTACCCTTAAGTGGTAGGTATAACCCATAAAACTGTAGGTAAAGAGGGTTTTTAGGTGAATTTTAGCCCTAAACCCTAAACCCTAAACTAAGCCCTAAACCCTAAACCCTAAACCCTAAACACTAAACCCTAAACCCTAAACCCTTAACAAGCAAGGATGCGCGCTTCTGAAGGCGCTGAAGTCCGTGTCAAGTCCAGGCATGCCCCCTCGCTTGCAGTGGGCCAGGCCAAGCAACAAGGGCTCAGAAGTGGTGGGTTCCTTGGGGACCAAATGAAACTTGAGGAGAGTTTTGGTGTAGGGTTTAGGGTTTAGGTTTAGGGTTTAGGGTTTAGGGTTTAGGGTTTAGGGTTTAGGGTTTAGGGTTTAGGGTTTAGGGTTTAGGGTTTAGTAGGGTTTAGGGCTCAGGGCTTAGGGTTAAGGGTTAGGGTTTAGGGTTTCCTAGGTTCGGGGTACCTTACTGGGGTCCTTATTATAAGGGAATCCTACTATGGGGGTTTATATTAGGGGTCCCTTATTTTCGGAAACACTCAAATGAACCCTAAGATTGGGGTCATCTACCCATACTACTATAATCCCTATCAAGGTATCTGAACTATACTACGATGTTCCTGTTTAAGGTATATGAACTAGACCACCATAATCCCTATTCAGGTATATGAACTAATTATACTCCTATAATCCCGGTATATGAACTATACTACTATATATATATATATATCTTCCCTTTAAAGGTATATGAACCAAAGGCCCAGTCAGGGTTTATGTCGTCCCCAAGGTTCGGAGCTATTTCACTTGATTTCCCGAGCGGGGAAGGAGATGGAGAATCAACACGTGAGCTTGTGGGGTGTGAATCCTTCTCGCAACCACTACTTCTTGGCGGGAGTCGGGGACACACTGCGCCAGAAAGCACAGACAAAGGGAATTTTTCAAGACTTTTCAACAAAGCTGGGCCTCGTGTACGGTGCCTTCTTCGGATTCCGAGTGCTTCATGATGCGAGACGCTACACGCGATCAGGCCAAGTGAAGGATGACGTGGAACGCACTTTGCGACACTGGCATCTTGATGGCAAAATACTTCGATTCAAGCGCTATTCGGCCGACAAGAACACCTATAAGCCCGGCATCTTCACTCCAAAGAAAGGCGGCATTTCTGCGAATTCCTCTGAAGCTGAGCACACTGCGGAAGCTCGGGCGGCAACATGCAGACTAGTCGAAGAATTTGGTGCTTACGTTCGTCTGCCAACAGCTGGAGAGAAGACTTCCTGCGGACTCGTGTGGCATGGAACCGAAGCCACACAAAGCAAGAGGAGCGTCAAGAGGAAGGCGATCGTGACTGGACCAGATGTATCCGATTCACCAGCGCCTCTGCGCAAAGAACGCAGAGTCCAGTTGTGAATCGCGTGGGTTCCGGGTTTAGGAATTAGGGTTTAGGGTTTGGGGTTTAGGGTTTAGGGTTTGCCCAAACCGCAAAGTGCGCTGCGGAGGAGAAGAGGGGGCCTTGGAGCGGCAGTGCCACTAAGTTTTTCATTGAGTTACATGTTCATAGGATTCATCGAGGGTTTAGGGATTATAGGGATAAAGGTTTAGGTTTCTAGGGTTTAGGGTTTCTAGGGTTTATAGGGTTGAGGGTGCAAGGGGTTTAGGGTTGGGATTTTCCCTCGTCTACTAACAGTCCCTCATAGGGATTCTCGTACCCCGATCGTAATACCTATTAAGGAATTGTTTGTGTAAGGTGGTACATCCCGAGGTTTAGCCCCTGAAAGGGTTGCAGAAGTGTCAGGCGCACAACTCCCGAGTTCACTACTGTTTGATAAGACAAGATGCGCTTTCCACATCATGTCGTGTGCTCGGGTCTTTCGTCTAGGGTGCAGTTCTCTATGGCTGGCAGCGCTAGGGCTGGCAGCATGGTGTTTCGGGCCGGCTGCAGATTCAAACGTGCCGTGTCATGTAGTGTTTTCAGAACAAGTCTTCCCTGCAGAGCCGAAAGCCCTAAGCCCTAAACCTGTTAAGCCCAAAGAACTACACCCTAAGCCCCAAAAGCCCTAAACTCCTAAACCCCCAAAGACCCTCAACCCAGAAAAGGCCCGAAGCTGCACGCACCCAGGCTCCCACGAGCGATTCCGCCCCCTGATGTATGTGCTGGCCTTTTTCCATGCTGTGGTCCAGGACTCCACTTTGTAGCCCAGCGGTGCCCTTTTGCCCTTTTTTTTGGGGGGGTCTCACGGCTCCCTTGTAAGTTAACTAACCCCAAAAAGGGGTGCTCTTGGAATAATACTGTTGCTGGGCTGCCAAGCAGGTGATGCCTTAGTTTGGGAGGCTCAGGGGTTGACGACTTCGGTCTTTAGGCCAAGTAACCCCGCACCTCCGCTACTCCAATACCCAGAACACGGCCGAAGCAACGCTTGAATGCTTGAGGTATCCGGCAGAAGCTGTCATGGACACTCGGCGAGCTAGTGAGTTGCTCCCCCCCCAACCTCCAGCCCTAAACCAAGTTCTAAACTCTGAGCCTTATAAACCCCTGCCTAACTCGACGCGCACATGCCAGGACCGAAGAAAGTTCGGCCGAATTGGCTGGAACGTCGCGCGGCTACTTTCAGCTCTCTAGAGCTGTTTTTGGTCTTTTGAGGAGTTGTGTTTCTTTTCTTTTTTCTACATAAGGGCGGAAGCATTCAGCATGTTATTTTCAGGAGTAGTGTTAAATTTTTATCAGGGAACGTTGCGGAGGGAATGAATCCCAACTGCTGGGAGTTCACGAGTGTTTTTTGGGTTTTCGGTTTAAGGTTTAGGGTTTAGGGTTTAAGGTTTCCCAAACCCCCAACCCTTACATGCTCCCCAGGCCGACTAGGGCCCACCCAGCACCGTGGAAGATAGGCCGACATGTTCCTTAGGCCCTTGTTCAAGGGTGGTTTGGGGTGGAGGGCGGGTGGGGAGGAGGCAGATCTTGCATAAGGACACCTAAACCCCCAACCCTAAACCCTAAACCCCAAACCCCAAACCCTAAACCAATAACCCTTCATCCGACGGCAGGTTGCGTACGACTTCAACGAGTCAGATTTCAAGGCGAGCCCTGTCACGGCTATTTCGGGTTTAGGGTTTAGGGTCCGTAGGGCTTAGGGTTTAGGGTTTAGGGCTTAGGGTGTAGGGTCTGGGGTTCGCAGGGCTTAGGGCTTGCACTTTAGAAGGTGCGGTACTTTAGGGGGCCCAAATAGGGGATCCTATTTTAGAGAACTCCCGATACTCTCATAGGTTTCTGACCCCCTTACCAACCTGAACTCTAAACCCTAAACCCGACTTGTTTCTGAAGGATTGCCTGAAAGCCTACCAAACATGTTCTTCCAAGACCTTTTGAACCCTAAGTGCTCTAGTCCCTAAACTTAAACCTGAACCCCCACAAACCCTAAACTCAAGCCCTAAACTACTCTAAACTTTCAACCCTTCTGATCCCTAAAGCCCAAAACCTATCCCCTAAGCCCTGAACTCTACACTCCTCTGAAGCCCTGAAGTCTAAACCCTGATTCCGACCCCGCAATCCCCTTTGAACCGCGCTTTGAAGTTCAATTCCTCAGCCTGGGGGTTTTGCGGCGTGCAGGGGTCTGAAGGTGTTTTGGAGTTTAGGGTTTAGGGTTTAGGGTTTAGGGGTTTGTTGTTTGTTGCTTGCGTGTTGGGGGCATATTTGCTTTGCGGTGTCGGGTTCAAGGTAAGGGGTTGAGGGTTTAGGGTTTAGGGTTCAGGGGGGGGGGGGGGTGGTGCAGGGTTTCGGGAACGCAGGTGTCGGCGAAACTGCTGAACCTCTACTTGCAGAAGAGCTTTGACAAAGGAGAGGCGCCCAACGAAGACCATACATGTTGCGAGTAGGGTTTATAGGGTTTCGGGTGTAGGGTCGCAAAGACCATACATGTGTCGGGGAGGGTTTGTGGGGTTTCAGGCGAGGGTCGCACATTGCTCGATAAGCACGAGGTCCCTAAACTCTGAAGGCCCTCTATCCGGGCCCTGCAAGCCCCGAGTAGGATCTTTGCACAAGATACCATCAACATTTTTTACTACGACCATCATCATCATCATCACCATCATCATCATCATCATGTTTGTTCGTTCGCTGTTGTGTATTGCTAGAACTTTGTTCTCTCATTGAATCATTCTTGCCACTTTGGCAGAGGATTAGGCCCCAAAAGGGTATATGCCCAATGCCTTCTTAAACCCTAAACCCTAAACCCTAAACCCTAAGCCTGCGGACAACCTACCAGAATGCCCGGGTTCCGGTAAACTTGGTTCACACCCTCACTGTGCCTAAACTCTAAACTCTAAACTCTAAACCCTAAACCCTAAACCCTAAACCCTAAACCCTAAGCAGGTCTTGCCGTGGGAGACCTTGCGATACCTCATTGGCGAAGCCATGCAGCTGGACCTGGTCTGGCTTGCGCTTTTTCGGTTTGGGGTTCTGCGTTCAGGGTGTGCCCTGAACCCGCAATCCTAAACCCGAAACCCTAAACCACAGTTGTATCCCCTGAGCCCTAAACCCTAAACCCTAAACCCTGAACCCTAAACCCTAAACCCTAAACCCTCAACCCTAAACCTGTCATTCATCCCACCCATCAAGCCTGCAAAGCGCTGAGGTACGGGGGTCGCGTCACTGACAACTATGACAGGCTGGGGCGCGAAGTGCTCTTAGGGCTTCGAGTGTCTACCCGAAGGCTCCAATGTAGTTCTGTTTTGGGTAAGTTATAGGGGGTTCTAGTATACTACCCCAAAAAGGTACTACATAGGAGCCTTCGGGTAGGCCCTTGTGCGCTGACCGGGTTTTGGGGGGGGGGGGGGGGGGGCTTTTGGGGCTTGTGTCTTAGAGGGTCCAAGTTCTTCAGCACAATAAATGGCAACGACTTTCAATGTCAAGTGCACCCCATGAAAGTTTCGTGCCGTGCGCATTCAGGCTGCATGGGCTTTCGGGCACCAGTCGGTTGTAGGGTTTGAGCATTCAGTTTTCAGTATGGCGAGTGCGGGTCAACGAGATAGTTCTTGAGCCGAACGCTTTGGACTTCCGTCGACAGGGTCCCTTCAAACCTAAACCCGACATTCTCGCACAAGGGTCCCTGCAATCTAAACCCTAAACCCCGTAGTCTCTTCCCGGAAGCTACAACCATTGCGTACCCGGAGTCTCTTGACAAGTGCAGGCGTGTCCTCACGACGTATTTGGAGGAGTACATGGGCGACTTCCTGTTTGCCTCGGTCTTAGCAGAGGGGATGCTTCTGGTGTATTGTTTTTAATGGGTATAAGGAGGGACGCCTAGAAGGGACCCTGAATCTTACACCCCTATAGAACCCCTGTTTTCTTCCTGGAACAGTCCGTCGTATAGCTAAGAAGCCCCTAAAGAACCGCCCAAATAATCCCCTATAAGGTCCCTTATCAAGGTCCCTCCTTTAGTCCCTGGGCTTGGTGTTTGGGACTCTAGACCCGAACTTTCAACCTGGGCTTGGTGTTTGGGGCTCTAGACCCGAACAAACAACCTAGAAGCCCGAAAGCCACGGCCCTTTGCATCCGCAGAGGATGATAGGGGTCAAAGTAGGGCCTACAAGAGGAGCTCGTGGCTTGCACTACAAGAGAGCTGCTGAAACAAGGCCAAATCCAAAACTCACTAGAACCTGCTGGTAGAATTGTGGTCATAGTTTATATAGTCCCTTTTCTACCCAAATTTCTAAGCTCCCCCCCCCCCCCCCTCCCCCCCCCCCCCCTGCCCCTCCTGCCCCCCCCCCCCCCCCCCGCCCCCCCCCCTGCCCCCCCCCCTGCCCCCCCCCCCCCCCCCCCCCCGCCCCCCCCCCCCGCCCCCTCACCCCCCTGCTCGTTTGCGTCAAAGCTCCGCCACACGGCCCAGGATGAGAACGTTAAGTTCTTCTTCAGCCGCTCTGGTTTCGACTACGACTGCCCTCTACAGGCCAGTCGATGGGTTTAGGGTTTAAATTGGTTTAATCCGGCTCTAAATTGTTGTGGCCCCTTTTTGTTTGGTTCCAGGTTCCCATCTAAAGCAACAATAAACCCCAACAGCGTACCCGTACACCATAGCTTGGTGACTGGGCTACCAAGAAGGCCAACTGAACCCATCAGACCCTCAACCTCTGAACCCTGGGAGCTGTGAAGCGCGCGCTCGAGCTTAAGCCGACGCTCGAACGCCTCATGTGTTGACTTCACCTCAGCCGAGGGTCTCAAAACCTATGTTACAGGCTTCAAGTTGCCCCAGACACTAAGCCCCTCAAACCTCAGTGATCTGAGCTGTGAGTGGCTAAGCTCGAAGACCCCCACCTAGACCCCCAATCCCCAAACCTAACTAAACTTTTGAGTCCGACTTAACCCAAAGTGTTGAAAACGAGCTGTGCATCTGCTTTTTAGACTGTGAATTTTTTTA